AATAAGAGAATTCAGTCTACTATGAAGGCGCTCATGGGGAGAAAGGAGACACAGGATGACTACCTCTATATTTGGAGAAGGGTGACCAAAGAGGTTGTTTTAGCAATCTCATACATCTGGTCACACCTCTCTGGTCACACCTCTCAGATCAGCCTGATGACCCTCAGGTCCATTTTCCTGAATCCTTTTTTTGTGGTAGTTGCCTCTGTCAGTATTCCCCTAGGTCCATGTGACTTTTTATAGCTTTCCTTTCTCTAGTTCCATGTTTCTTCTATTCATCCAGTCCTGGACCAGAATCTAGGAAATCTGGTTCTTAGACTCAGTGGTTTGACTTTTAAAGATCATCTAACAGTATGGACTACTATTCTCCATCCTATCATGGTTGCTTCCTTTTTGACTCCCTTAAGATACTAATTTGCACTTCATAAAAGTATTATATCATCCTTATCATCATTACTATCACTGATGTAACGTCTTAAGGTTTGCAAAGTGTTTTTCAAACATTATCTCATTTTAATCTCACAACAACCCTAGGAAGCAGGTGTTATTATTAGCCCTGCTTAATTGATTAGGGAAGTGAGGCAAACAGAGGTTAAGTGACTTATCCAAAGCCACACAGCTGGTAAGTGTCAGTGCCTGGATTTGAACTCAGGTTTTCCTACTCCAGGTCCAGCTTTCTATCCACTGTGCTACCTAACTATTATGGCTAGCATGACTTCATTCTTACAATTTATTGAAATGGCTCATTATCTGACCCCTTTTCTGTGAAAGACAAACAGCTATAGAATAAACAGTTATATATTTTAGATAAATATGGGACTTGCCATCAAGGAGTTTATACTCAAACAGTGATGATAAAACCAATAAACATATAGGGAACAGAAACATATGATAAAATAATGAATATGTGTTCAGGGGACAAGATGAGCAAGAGATTATGCTGGTAGGCTGACAGATGAATTAAGAGTAAGTTTGGCAATCTACGACAGGAACTAGGAGTCCGAATGACAAACTTTTGACTATAGACTCAACATTTTCTCATCTGGTTCTTTTAAAGGGAAGTAAAAGTTAAAGAATCCCAGATCTCTGAAATGAGGAGGAAAAGAAGAAAAACCTGTAAGAACAGAAAAATCTTGACTACAGTTGAATGTAAGTTTATTTTAGTGTAATTTCTAAATATCTATAAAAGGAATCAACAGTTGTTTCTAGACCTTGTGCTTCATTAGAGAGATAAAGGCATATAAATATATTTGTGATTTAGAGTTCCTGTCATTGGTATTATGATGCATTAAAAATTAAATTGGTATTATAACTATGATATATTAAAATAACTTTAACATAAATTAAACACTTTTAAAAAGAAAGGCTTGTTTATCCAATTGCAGATGATTTGGGGTTGCTATTTTCCTTATTTCTTGGTATATGTAATCAGATGTGGTATTGTGTAAGAGGCTTATTATTGCCTTCCCACATGCAGAAACAGTAGCAAAAGCTAAGAGGATAACACCTTTGGGGAAAAGTGCAAAGAGGATCTAACTTATTTCTAATAAGAAGGTGAAACTTAAAGAAGACTTTAAAATCTACCCATCACAAGGCCTATTTTAAAAGGAGTCTGTGAAATTTAGTTTAATCCATCAATCAATTAACATTTATTAAGCACCTACTATGTGCCAGGCACTGTGCTAAGCGCTGTCATCATCACATCTTTCACATAATATATCCTAAAAGACGCAGCTCATGGTGCAGTGGAGAGAGCACTGGGCCTGTAGTCAAGAAGACTCAAGTTCAAATATAGCCTTAGTCACTTACTAGCTGTGTGACCCCCAGCAAGGCACTTAGCCTCTGTCTGCCTCAGTTTCTTTAAAGGTAAAATGGGGATAATAATAGCACCTACCTCCCAGGATTGTTGTGAGGATCAAATGAGATAATATTTGTAAAAAGTGCTTAGCATATTACCTGACACACAGTAGGTGATATGTAAATCCTTCCTTCCTTTCTTCCTATCCTTCTCCTTCCCTCCTTCCTTCCTAACTTCTTTCCTTTCTGTTTTCCTTCCTTCCCTCTCTTTCTCCCTCCTTCCTTCCTTCCTTCCAAAACCAGGCCACTGTACATTGTTCTAGCTTATTCACAAGGTCATTCCCTATAAGTTAGGGATGGTCAGATATTGGCTAGACTTCTCTCCTATGTTCATAATGACTGTTAAGGTAGAATTCTGTGAATAGTCATTGCCAGCTTTGAGAAATTTTACCACCCTTTCATTGTCTGTCTAATTTAAAAAAAAAAGCATTGTTATCCTTTCAAAAAATGGAAGAGGGGATGGGAAAAAAGGAAGAGGGAAAGGAAGAAAATGGAAGAAAGGGGGAAAGGAAAGGCTGGTAAAATTTTTTTTAATTTAAGTAATTTTCTCTTAATTTCATGACATCCTTTGAGAAAATCTCTTATACCTTATATTGAGCATTCCTAAGTTCTTAGGACAACTGCCCCATTCAGGTTGAAGCCAAAGGTGGTCACAATATCAGAATATTCCCTGCTTATTTAAAATAGCACTCTGCTCTTTATATGTTACAAAGTAACAAGAAGGAAGAAATAAGTAAGTATTAAGTACCTACTAAGTGCCAGTTACTGTGCTAATTGCTTTATACCTAAAATCTCATTGATCCTTACAACAACCCTGGGAGGAAACTATTATCGCCATTTTATAGTTGAGGAAACTGAAGCAGACAAAGGTTAACTGAGTTGCTCAAGGTCACACAACTAGTTAATCTATGAAACTGGATTTGAACTCAGGTCTTTCTGACTTCATTCCCAGAACTCTACCCACTCTGCCCCCTCATAAAAATCTACCTGCCTCATCATAATTTGACTTCTAAGAGCCTTGGATTAAAATAAAAAGCAGCTAGAAAATACATAGGAAAGAAAACAAACTTTGTGGTTAAAAATATTTAATTCCAACAATAAAAACAAAGCAGCTCCCAAAACTAATGATGTGAAACACTTTTAATATTTTATAATAGTTTGATGTATTTGATCGAGAAACTTTTCTTTCCACTTCATTTTCAGATGACTCTCAATCTATCCATCATCCACACCCCAAAAATGCAAGAGATCTTGAAAAAGGAACAGAAATAGACACCTCAAAAACCACCGTTTCTCCCACTGAGGGCTTGGGGAAGTCTGATGAAAATGAGGGTGAGCACAGGTGTGCTTCTAGGAAGAGAGAACAGAATAATGCTCCATTATGCAAAGAAAATAAGCAATTTCCATCTGCCAGTGAAGATAGTGTGGGGAAGAAAAGTGACTGTCCTCTTTTGGTTTGCTGTCATCAGCAGGAGAGATTCCTCATGGTGGTCACTTTTGGTGATCCAAAAGGCTCTCTATCAGGAAAAATTACCCTGCAGAACTTCCCAGGCTCTATAGAAACCTCTAAGTCAACAAAAGGCAAAATTACTACAGAAATGAAATGTGGTGCCTTTAATATAAAAGTGGAAATTGAGGAAAGTTCTTTAAGTGATAATGGAAAGAAAAAAGAAAAAGAGAGAAAAAAGAGTTTCCAAAGAAAAAAGAGTTTCCCAAAGATCTATTGGAGGTACCCTGGAAAACAGATTTGGAGATGCCCCTATTCTAGATATTCCCATTCTAGATACCACACTTTACTGGTGGGTCACACAAGAGACAGAAAGTGTGAAGCATCATCCAAATCCAAAGCCACAGTTGCCAGCAACAGAGACCCCTCCCTAATCATGAACATTGTAGGAAAAACAATTAAAGTGACATATGTCAATAAGAGGCAGAATCTATTACTTAATATAGTACATTCTAAGCAAAGGAAGAAAAAAACCAACAAGGATGGTAACTATAATTCTAATGTCACCACAAAGAGATGCTCCAAATCTCCTTCACTATCAGCTCAAGGTGTTCAATCAAAGGGACAGGCTTTTCAAAATTACCAAGGCACGGACTGTTCTTTAACACCGCCACTACCACCTCCTTCTCCTCCTCCTCCTCCTGATGAATTTGCTGACTATAAGGGAAAAAATGCAAATATCCTTACAGATTCTCTACATCCAGAAAGCAACATGAATGAACTTGGAATGTTATTTGCAGTCTTTGATACTGAGAGGGTACAAGGTGCCATATCTCCACAAAAGAATTATCAGAGTAATGAGTACACTGCTACAAAAGAAAAGATTTCTGAAATTGAAACTGTTCCCCCATATTTTGTTCATGGTCCTCTAGAGACGAGTCTCACAGACTCATTTAAAGTACCTTTAGAAAATGGTGGAGAAATGGAGGAACGGAGGGGAAGCATCCTCATTAACCAAGAAAATACCATGTCAGAATCATATCTCCAGCACAACACAGGAGGAATAATGGATTTCATGGGCACCACTGCTTATACCCTCTCTCAGACTCAAGGTAGAAAAGAGTCAAGTGTTCTTTCTTTGCCATCTCTAAAGGTGCAGCATGTGGGAGCCAAAACATCAAGCATCTTTGGCAAGGGTAGTACACATCCTGAGTATCCAGAATTTTCTACACCTTCCAGCTCTATATCTTCCTGCTTCAGTGTTGAGGATGTGAAACCTCTTTCATGCTCCACCACCACCAGCCCATCTCACTCTGACTTGACTACATACTGTTTGCAGTCTAAACAAAGCACTAATGATGTTTTTTTCTTGAATCACTGTGTGGAGTATAGGACTGACTCTGAGAACCCTCAGGCCCCATTAGAAAACAGCTTTAATTGTATGCTTCAGGAAAGTGCAGATCAAACACCTAAGGATCTTGATTCATTCAATCAATCAATCCATAAGCATTCATTAACTATTAACTGTACACCTGGCACTGGAGATACAAATGCAGAGTCTACAAGGTTCCTTTCTATTTGTCAAGAAGAACACACAAACTTCAGTGAGTGTGGATTCAATGAGGAAACTTTAGATAGTGGTCCCCAAGCTACTACACAGGAGCTTCTGAAGTTGAAAAGTGTGTCCTCACTAACAATGGCATCTCCACTCTCTAGCAGCTCATCCAGAGGCTGTACTAGTCCTCAGGATGGGACTGACAGTGAAATCATGGAGTGTGCCCAAAGGCAGCCCAGTGTGAAGCAACCAAGTGTCCCAACTCAGGTGACTACCCGTGAAACAGAAGGGGCCAGCAAGAAATGGAGAGGATCCATGATGACTGTATTAACTAAGGCACTAAAGCAAAAACTTATCTCCCAAAGTGGTCGTAAATTCACTAGTACTGCCTGTGGTTCCATGCTGGAGAAGGATCTTGAAGATCTGCCCAATCCTTATGAAAACTCTGGCATTTTGTCACTTTGGGATACTGAGGAACCAAATATAGAGGATGAATACAGGGGCATTTTTGAAGTTTTGTGCAACAGCAACTATATTAAAGCCTGTTTCCAAAAGCATTTCCCACCTATCACTGGAGAGGACAACTTGCCAGTGTCTCCTCTAGATATTCAAGTTTCTAATCTGGAAGCATTTATTAAAGAAACATTGGGAAACAGTGACTGGGAAGAAATGAGCCCTGGACCAACTTTTCTCAAAGAGGACCCTGTGGAATGTCAAATGGGAGAGTTTATCGAGTTGAATTCTGAAAGAGATGAGGAAAGTAATAATGAAAAAACTGACATACCATTGTCAGCCCAGAAGCAAAGGATTCTGAAAGGTATAGTACTGATATATTGTTGATTTTATATATTTGAATTTTAGATAATTTTGAGAATAGAGAGTGTTTTTTCTCTCTCTCTCACACACACATCTTATTGCATATTCTAGTAAATTTTAGTAAATTTACCCAGAACTTTGGTTCAATAGAAAATAAGCTTAATAGTTTTTCTACTGAGTCTGATACATTGCAAGATGGAAGTAATCTAGAAGTACAGTTCCTTGCACATAATAGACATTCAATAAATGTTTATTGAATGAATGCACGAATGATTTCACCATTATTTTCCTTCTTTCAAGCTAAGCATGCTAATTAGAACACTTTTTTTTTCATGAAACATTCTCAAAACTCACTACAGAATTTGTGAAGCATGCCATGAATGCTCCAGAAGGCTATGAGGAACTGTGATTAAAATAAAGGACATAAAACTGAGAATAGCCTGTGGCTACTCCTGGAGCTGTACAGCTCCAGGTGTCATTGAAGGGAAAGCACTCCCTTTTTTATTTTTCTACTTTGCTGAAACAAAGCGGAAAAGATAAAAACTTTACATTCCTCAGGATAAACTAAAGTAGAATTTCTTTCATAAGACATTCATTACTAGGACCATAAGCCATCTGCATTCACTCCTGGGTTAGTATTGTATCTTTTATATCATTTCACAAAGAATATTTTCCTGCAATTTGCTGTACTCTCCTGACTTCATATTAAATGGCACCTGTCAGCTCTAATGGTCAGTGCTCCCTTATTTCAAAGGAAATAAGAAATAAGAACCACCCACTCCCTTCCCCCCTTTAATATAGTGAGGCCAGGTGGTAAGGTGAAAAAGATAATGGTTCAGAAGTCAGAGGATCTATGCTCTAATTTCAAGAGTCTTGGGCCTGGAGTCAGGAAGACCTGAGTTCAAATCCTACCTCAGATACCTGTTAGCTGTGTGATTTTGGGAAAGTCACTTAACCTTTTTCTGCTTCAATTTTCTTATCTATAAAAAGAGGGTTGGACTATTTGACCTCTGAGGTCCTCTCTAACTTTTGTGCAGAGATTCTTAAACATTTTTCTGTCATGGACACCTTTGGCATTCTTTTGAAGCCTATGGATTCCTTCTCAGAATGATTTTAAAAGCATAAATTAAAATATATAGCATTTCAAAAGAAATCAATTATATTGAAATGCAATTGTCAAAATATTTTCTTAAAAGTTCTTAGACCTCATAATAAGAATACATTAGTGTTCCCTCTAAAGGGAATTATAGTCCAAGGCCCTGTGAGTTCTGCAACTCAAGAGCACCAAGAATAGCCAGTTTTGAAAGCCCTTTCGAGGGATTAAAGAACTTTCTCACTGCCACTTTGGTAAATCTCAGCTCAGATGTCTGAGTTATTCCTTGGGAATCTCTTGCCAGCTCAAGACAGAACATAGAATGCCATCTCCACCCTAGGTCTAAATTATTCCATAGCTCAGGTTCTGGTGTGCAGATCCTTGAGTGTGGCTAAGTGGCATAGACTCATAGATTTATTAAATAATTGTGTAACTTCTAGTGCATAAAGGACTCAGAGAGAAGTCCTGGTTTGACAGACATTCAGACACTACCCTCCACTTCACTCCAGCACTGGCCCCTCGTCTACATATAGGCATGGTTCTCAAGATGTCTGTTGGCCAGATTTGTGTAGTGGAGGAGAGGAAGGAGGTACTTATCTGGGTTCCCAGCTCTTAACTCATTCTGAACAGGAAAGAACCTAACCCAAGGTTACACCTATTTATCTCTGTTATCTTATGAGTGCTTAGCTGTTTAAGAAAGCCTGTACAAGTCTTGTGAGGCCATCTTTGACCCAGTCACCTCACTGGCAATGCCCCAGTAGAATCTGCTTTTCTCTCTGTCCCTTATTGTCTCCTTGAAGTCATTGAAACACAGACTCCCAGAATTGAAAAGGAAAAGACCAGTGAGTGGCAGCATGATTCACACAGTGGAAACAGTGTTAACTCAGGTATCAAAGGACCTGGGTTCAAATCTACCTCTGATGCTTACTACTGAGGAACCATGGGCAAATCACTTAAACTCTCTTGGTCTCAGTTTCTTCATCTGTAAAATGGTGGATGGACTAAATGGGCTTGGAGGTCCCTTCTAAATTGCCTTTCTTCAGTACTATGCCACTTTGCCTTGATTTTTCTAGGATCATAGCTCATATAACAAAGCAGTGCTTTTTTTTTTTCTATTTAGCTAGAGGAGAACTCAGAGACTCTCAATCAACTGATCAATTAGTAAATATTATGAAACACTTACCAAGTGCCAAGCACTGAATGCAAAGAAAGCAAAAACAGTCCCTTTGTCCAAGTAGCTTATATTAATGGTATCAAATTCAAATAGAAATAAGGGCTACTAATCCATATATTTTTGATTCAAGGTGTTTCCTTCTCAAAGCAATTAAAAACCTTTTAATCATGAAATACAAGTTATGGGATTTACATTTTTGACTAATAGAATTCAAATCCTGGAGAACTTGAGTTCACTTGTCTAAGTTTTATCTTCCCAGTAAGATTATAATCTTCTTAATGACAGGAGGTATGTATACTACTTAATTTATCCCTCCTCCTCACCGTGTCTTACTCAGTATCAAATACTAAGGTGCTCAATAAATGCTCATGCAATTGAACTAGATTGAATGGAATGGAACTGAATAGATTCTAATGTTGCTAACTGTATATTCCAATCTTGGCTGATTCATCTTGGTGGGGGAGGGATTCAGAAAAAAAAAATTTTGAAAGTGAATCAAGATTTGAGAATGTCTTTTTCCCATTCCTTCTCACTTCTCTCATCATAATCAATCTGGTTTAAATTTAGATTGGAAATGGGAGATAAACAAACTCATAAAGCTTTCAAATGAATTGCCATCAAGAGATGCAAGAGCCAGTGACAGTTCCCAGGAGGAAGCAATTGACCAATGGGCCAAAAGACGGAAGCAGTATAAAGAAAGCAAAAAGTGCAGCTCAACTGGAGGGAGTTCATATGCCAGTAACATTACTGAAGGATCAAGTGAGTAAATAATCTGTCTTATTTATCAGCACCTGAGATACCGTCAGACTGATCCTCATTGGACCTATTAACTCCCTTATTCTTCCTGGAAATAAATTCTGTTATGTGGAAGTATCAGTGTGCTTATTACATGCACTTAAAAAATCACCATATTGTAATCTTTTTAAAAATCATTCATTCTACTAAGAATCCATTTGATCACCTCCTTTGTGCTACCAAATGATGAGTCAGAGTTGCTTTCCTCTACTCATCCTAATACCAACTAATTTCCCTATTGGTCTCCTGTAGCTTGGAGTTAATAAACAGGAGGATCTAGCAAGGAAGGGGGTCATAGGTTCCCAAGGTGGGTGATACCGCCCCTGGGGGGCACTAGAACAATCAGAGGGGCAGTAGTAGCCTTGGGTATAATTGGGGGCTATTGAATAAAAATAAGGGGGTGGTAGAAGCATAAGGAAAGAGAGAAGAAAATTTTGAAAAAACGTTTATACATGTTTCATCTGTTGTGTAACAGAGTTAAAGTCATAGTGATTGCATTATTTTCCAAATAAACACATAAAATGCAAATTTCAACTGATCAGTGGTCAAGTCCACTGACAGGTCTTAACAAGCAAGTGTTGGCAGGTGAGTGTCATTCACTGTTGAAAAGTCCAGCATGCATTGGCAAGAATGTGTGTGTGTAATGACTTGTTTACAATATGATACTATACAGTTACATGATGCAATATCGCATCATCAAAATTTCAATGCAAGAAAAAACCCACAAATTTACAATGAAATAGTAAATTTAAGATATGTAATTTAAAAATCATTTTATATATTTTTTAAATGATGCAAATTTTTTAAAAACCATTAAAGGGTTAAAGAAAGTAGATTTCCAGGAATGTGCTGAGTAATTTTTTTAAAGGGGCAGTAGACCAAATAAGTTTGGGAACCTTTGGGCTAAATGGTGCAGTGGCTGGAATGGTGGGTGGGTCTGGAGTCAGGAAGATCTGAGTTCAAATCCAACCTCAGATACTAGCTGTGTGAACATTGCCAAATTGCTTGATAATAGCACCTACCTCTCAGGGTTGGTGTGAGGATCAAATGAGATAACACTTATAAAGCACTTAACACAATACCTGGCACATGTAAAGCACTATGTAAATGTTAGCTATTATTATAATAATTATTATTATTCGGACTAGATAGTAGTGGGACTACAGTCAGGGGAAACAAGCGTAAGTGAATGTTAGAGCAATGTTAATAAAAATCACTATAAATAAGTGATTTTCCAAAAGTATCCATTGTGTTAGATCATGTACATCACCATTTCCTTTTATTTATATGGATATTCAGAGGTTACTGTAAAGCATTAAATATTCCATTTATTTTTTTTTTCTTGGTTAATCTTATTTCCCATTCAATGGCCAGTTTGGAATCCATCCTATTATTTGTTCCTCTTTGAGAACCTACTTAGAGGAGTGAACACAGAATTTGGAATTAGATTTTATTGCCAACCACACTACTTCTGGTCAAGGCTACTTTATGAGAAAATAAGATCTCAATTTTGTTTCTGGCCACCTCAGATGATGTCCCTGCAGAAAAAAAAAAATGTTCCTTACGGTTGTACATCTAAGGAAAATCCTCAATGCTTCCAAGCTAGTGGTCTCCAAACTTTTGTGATCACATACCTGTTCCAGTAAAACAATTAAAAAAACTGAGCACATACCTCCATTATATGTATTTTTAGTTATTGATAAAATGTATCAATCAATCAGCAAGCATTCGGATTTTTTTTTACTTTTTGGGTTTTTTTTTTGTTTTTTAACTACATTTATTTATTTTTAATTATCAACATTCACTTTCATAAGATTTTGAGTTTTAAATTTTTCTCCTTCCCTTGCCTCCCTTCTCCCCAAGATGGCTTGAAATCTGATATAGGCGATACATGTATAATCATATTAAACATATTTCCACATTAGTCATGTTATGAAAGAAGAATCAGAACATAAGGGAAAAAACATGAGAAAAAAAGAAAATAGTATGCTTCAATCTTCATTTAAACTTCATAGTTCTTTCTCTGGATGTGGATAGCATTTTCCACCATGAGTCTTTTGAGATTGTCTTAGAATCTGAGACTCTTAGATCATTGCATTGCTGAGAAGAACTAAGTCTATCAAAACAGGTCATGGCACAATGTTGCTGTTACCGTGTACAGTGTTCTCCTGGTTCTGCTCACTTCACTTAGTATCAGTTCATATAAGTCATTCCAGGATTTTCTAAAATCTGCCTGCTTATCATTTCTTATAGAACAATAGTATTCCATTATATTCTTAAACTATAACTTGTTCAGCCCTTCCCCAATTCATGAGTATTCCCTCAATTTCCAATTCTTTGCCACCACCAAAAGAACTTCAGCAAGTATTTGTTAAGCACTCCAATACGTGACAGATTCTGTGCTAGGTTTTGGGAATAAAAATACGAAGAATGAAATAATCCCTACATAAGATAAACTTACATCCTAATGGCAAAGACAAGTACATATAAATGTATGCAGAATAAATATAAAGCTAATAAATACAAATATATACAAAGTAGTTAAATTCCAGGTAATTTTGGAGGAAAAGCACTCAAGTTGGAGGGATCACAGAAGTCTCCATGGCAAAGATGGTACCTGAACTCTGTCTTCAAGAAAGACAGGAGTAGATAGAGCACCAGCCCTAGATTCAGGAGGACCTGACTTCAAATCCGGCCTCAGACACATAACACTTACTAGCTGTGTGACCCTGGGCAAGTCACTTAACCCCATTGCCTGGCCTCCCCCCCCCAAAAAGACAGGAAATCCATGGGCTAGAGGTAAGAGGGGAGTGAATCACAAATACAAGGGATGACCAATACAAAGGAACAGAACAGAGAGGCATGTATTGAGTGAAGAACAGAGATGCCATTTTGGCTGGATCACAGAGGGGCAATAATGTCCAACAAGGTTGGAAACATAGGTTTGAGCCTGATTGTGAAGGACTTTAAAAGCTTAAGAGAGGAGTTTGTATTTTATTCTAACAGCAGTGGGAAGCCACTGGAGTTGGTTGAGTAAGGGAGTTAGATGGTCAGAACTATGCTTAGAGAAAAATAATTTGACAGCGGTGTGCAATATGATGAACTAGAGTATGATATGAGACTAGAGGCAAATATTTGGAAAATAACATAATCATTTTTGGAAATATTTTCTGTATAGCTTCCAAAATGTTCTCAGGGCCAAAGTAGCAAAGTGGTTTTCCTATAACTCAAATTTGACCATGTCACTCCTCTACTAAATAAATCCAGTGACTCTCTGTTTACTCTAGGATAAGAAATTATTTCGTCTTCATCTTTCTTTTAAAATTTTGATTGTTTTTAGGAAAACTGCAGATTAAAAAATAAACCCACATAAATCATCAACATTTCTACATATTACCAACTATAATAACTAAGGAGGGTGTTGGCAATAATCTAGGACAAAAGGATTGGGGATCTGAACTAAAATGGTAGTTCTGTGAGAGAAGTTACATTTGAGAGATGGGAAAGTAGAAATGGTAAGATTTGGCAACTGATTAGATATGTGGGATGAGGGAGGGTAAGGAGATATGATAATAATGAGATATGAACCTGAGCTGCTGAAAGGATGGTGTCTTCAACAGAAATAGAGTAGTTTAGAACAGGAGAGGGTTTAGAAAGGAAGGTAAGTTGGGCTTAATATGTCTCAGGGTGTGTGGGGGGTGGGAAGGGTTAGGGGGCAGGATTTGGATAATAAACCAGCAAAGGAGAATGAAAAGGAGTCATCAGAAAGGTAGGAGAACTAGAAGACAGTAATGTCATGAAAACCCAGAGGAGAGAGAATATCCAGGAGTAAAGAGTAATTAACAGTGTCAAATGTTGCAAATAGGTAGAGAAGGAGTATGACTGAGGGGGAATATATCCTTATATATGTATATTTGTGAGTATATATGTACATATCTATGTATACACACACATATAACACACACGCACACACACACACACACACACACACACATATATATCTTGGACGTGATGAGTTTCATGTACAATCATCTTTTTTATTGTACTATGTTATGGAAATACTTGTTTTGTTAAATGAATTAAAAATATATTTTTTAAAAGAGGCCACTGGTAGGAGAGCAGTTTCATTTCAGTGATGAGATTAAAAGCCAAATTGCAAAAGGTGAGGAGTAAGAGAGGAAAAAATAAACAGTGACAAGTTTTTCAGGGAGTTTATCTAAGAGAGATGAGCTATATAGGACCATAGTTTGGGTGGGGAGCGGTGACAGGGTCTAGTGAAGATTTTTTTTGAAATAGAGGAAATTAAAATGTTTGAAGGCATTAGGGGAGGAACTAATTGATAAAGAGAGATTGAAGATTTGAGACAGGGGAGGATGGAGGAGACAATCTGCTGAAGAAGACACAAAGGGATGAGAAGTACACATGTAGAGAACAAGAAACAAGAAACTAAGGGAAAGGAAAAGGGAGTGAGAGCAGATGTCAAGTGATTTTGAGATGAAGAGAATAGGAGAACAGGGAGCTCATATAGAATGGCCTTAATTTTTTCACTAAAGTAAAAAGCAAGGTGTTTAGCTAAGAAAGGAGCAGGAGGAAAAGATATGAAGGGACTTAAAGAAAGGAGAGAAGGTTTGGAACAGATTCTTAGAAGGTTGGAATGATGTAGGGAATCATTTAGGGAGGAATAAAAGGGCTCCCTTGATGTAGTGAGGACCCAGTTGAATTTGAATAACAAATTCTTAATGTACGTAGTCAGCATTGTATTAATAATAATATGCATTATAAAATATGCACAACAATGGAAATTTTATTTTTTAAAAAATATTTTATTTTTCCAATTACATATAAAACTTTTTAACATTCACTTTTTAAAATTTTGAGTTCCAAATTCTCTCCTTCCCTCTCTCTCCTCCATCCTCATTGAAAAGGCAAGCAATATTATATGTTATACATGTGCAGTCATTCAA